CTACTCCACTTCCGCCCACCCCCCCGCGACCAGGCCAGCCCGCTGCCCCACCCCCCTCTGCGTTCCAGCAACAACCCCCGCCGCGAAGGGGTTTGGGGGGAGCAGGCGACCAGAGGAAGCGCCGGGCGCAGTGAGTTTGCTCCCCCCAAACGGTCCTCAAAGAAGGCCATCGGCGCTGGGGCCATCTTCCCGGAAGCGCGGCAAAACGAACGCCCAAGCCGGGCTGTCCGCAACGCTGGAACCAAGGAGGGTGGACGCGGGACTAGCGCAGGCCGCGACACCGTTGTGCCCCAACTCTCTTCTTTGCGTGTCGTCGATGCGCAGGGGCCAGACTAATCTATTGAGACACGCAACCACACATCAACTCACAAAAGCATATGTTGGGTGCTTCGTTGTCGGGTTTCCACTGCGCACGTCGAAGATCGCACCTGATTCACCGAAGTGCCTCAACCGGCTACTTAGGGTCCACTACGGGCACCACATCAGAAACACACGAACACTTAGACAGAATAAGCCGGGTCGCCTGGACCATGGGCACCCCCGGCCTGCCCCCCGGATGGGGCCGAGAGGGAAAGAGCCGTAGCCCCAACCGCCCTCTCTGGCATGGAATCCGGGGAGGTTTGAGCAGTCCCGCCCCCGCACTCACAATAAGACCAGGAGAAGGGACGATCACAATGTGGCACTATCCACCAGCACCCGAACATACAGCACAAGTCCCCTCCCCGAGCATAACCTGTTAGGGGGCGCCCTCCTGGGGAGGGCGTGGGTTAGCCGTACCCCTTGGGGGATACGTTGCCCCTGACGCGGCCGCTCAGCCACCGGGGGATCAACAGTGCGGCCGCCAAACCGAACCCCTGGCCCCCGCGCCCCTCCAGGAGGAGGGGGAGGAGGGGAGAGAGGAGGAAGGGGAAAGGAGGAGGGGGAAGAGGGGGAGGGGGACACAACGAGGGCCGGGGGGTGGTTTGATACGGCCGCCTTGTCAACCCCCCAAACGCATTGACTTAGACTCCTGACTGTGAGAACCGTTGACAGGCCGAGACTCGTGGAGGCTTCTGCTCTATGCGTCAGCCATGCCTCCGCCTTGACCACATGATCTATCATGCCCCTCGCCGTCGCGCATTTCTGTTCAGCGCCAACAAGCGAGGCCGCGTTCGCAACGATATGCAAGCCGCGGCCATCAGCTTGACATCCGTGGTCCCCAGGCTGAGCGGGCGAGTGCTGCTAGCTTCGCAGTCAACGGCCTGGCCTGGAACGTCGGGAGGGCCCGTGCCACTGGGGGGGGGCATCAAACTGCACAGCATGCTAACTGGGAGCGACTGGAGGTTGCTCTTGAAACAAAAAAAGAAAGGGGAAAATGAATCAAGTACACGTGATGCGCACGGATGCTTCTGTGCAGCATTGGGTTTACCATCGGGCCGAGGGGCGCAGCGGGCCCGCCCCAAAACCAATCATACCAGAAAGGGTATTCCAGGCGCCACCCATGGTTAAAATTTTAAAAGGGATGTCAACGGCCTTGATGCGAGGGGCGACGTTGTTCCGTCGGGTGGAGCCCGCGTCGGGGGCGGCAAACGTGGAGGCCCGGTAATCACCAAGCAGCCGAACAGCTGCTTCAGAGGAGCCAGTTGGGGAGCCATCCGAGGTCTCAACGGCGACTTAGACAATCTGTTTGCAAACCTTTTGCCAGAGGAACTTGCAATGGCGGAGGCGAGCAACAATGGAACGTTTACCATATTCACCGGCGCGCGAGGACTGAACCCCCCGTGCTTCCTCATTCAGAATACGGCGGCGTAGACAAAAGGAGCGCCCAATGCAGTTATAGCGGGCGTCGAAGTTAGCGCGGAGGCGGGGGTAGCAACCAAGTGCCAGCTGAACTCTAACGGCGTCACCAGTCTGCGCGGCACGAAGGGCGGCGAGGGCCCAGTAGTGCTCCTCTTGCAGGCTGTCCGCCCGCCGGCACGGTGGGCCCCGCGGGCCTTCTCCCCAGCCTCGAAGAGAAAGACTTGACAACCGAAAGTTTGGCCCATGCGCCCCGGCCCCAGCCCCCAGGGGTCTCATTCAACAGCCCCTCCAATGCCTGACCGAACACGGGCGCCCCAGCGACCCGGGGAGGGATGCAGGGGCGACCGAGGTCGGGGCGAAACCGCTCAAAAGCAACCCAAACAGGAATAGGATCACTCGGCATGGCGGGCTTCAGGGACCCAACAGTCGAGGTCAAAATCGTGAGATCTCTGCTCAGGGCAGAAAGTGACGAGTGAAATCGGTCGATGCGCGAAGTTTTGTCGACCACTTTGCCCCTACTTCTCCTTCGGGTGTCGAGGTCTAGAAACAGCTCCGTGAGGTGGGAAAAAGCGTCGGAAGCAGCGCGACTGCGCAGCATCTCTAGCAGTGAATCCACTCCCGCCCCCAGCATGCCTCCCCTCCTCCTCAAGAGCGAAATTCCAGCCACCCAGGAATATAGCGAGCGCCCCAAATTCTTTACCACCAAGCTGGTGGCATCTAAAATCATGATGAATATTCGTCAGAACGCCAGAGAAGAGAGCAATAGTGTCAGCGGTGTTGGAAAAGTGGAGATTATAGACCATGTGATTGCCAAGAGACCCGCGGAACATGCTCTTCATACCCCCCGCGACCAAAGGCGCATGCTCGATAGTGGAGAAGAGAGACAAGTTGCGAGGACACCGCGGTGACGGCCCCGCCTTCCCCCATAGGGTCAGCGAAGAACGCGTGCCCGAACTCATATCCACGGAGCTTGTGCTGCAAATCAACTATATCACCCTCATGACCGTGTGTTTCTTGTGCTGCGATACTGTCGTACGTGTTGTAAAGCTTCATGCACTGTGCATATCTCGTTCGGGCCCGCCACGAATCAGCCTTGACCGACGCGAAGAGAACCTCGGTGTTCCAGGTGCAAACGGAGAAGGAGCGGGGGGGCAGGAAAAGAGGGCAAAGAGATGGTGAGGGTGGAACCTGTGCTGTAGCGCAGTCAGCCTCAGCGTGAAAAGGGACAGCGAGGAAGGACCGCTCCCGCCTGCTCTTCTGATGGAGTGTGTTCTTGGATGCCAAACTCGACAAACACATTGCGATCGCAGACGATTGAAACTGAATTGTTGTCGTTGACCTGAGCCTTACTTGTTGAGACAGGGTCGTGCGGACCGCGTAGGATGTATGCCGATCTGCCAAGCCCCGAACTACATACGTCGAGGACTTTCAAGGCGAGGAGCTCGCTGAGACGTGCCCGGACACGACCCCGTGACACAAACAGTTGACGGGCACTGACGTCGAGGTCGCGCCGCAGACGAAGAGTGAGAGGCGCGGCAGGATGGAGGGGATCGGGGATGCTCCATGTGCCGCCACTCCTAGAGAAGTTGTCTAGGAAAAAACTGTCAGCATTCGCACTTTCAAACAACAGCGTGACTTTCTTCGAAAGATCGAAAGCACGAACAAGGGTTCCCGGCTGATCAGCAGTGCTGGCAAAGGTCGAGACACATGCGGCACCTACATCCTTCAGGTTTTTGAGCAACAGTGGCCTGGGGAATCGATGGACATGGGGAAAATTGAACGGGCATGGGGGAGGTTGGATGGCCGTAGGGAGGGTTGGGCGAACGTCTGGGGGGCTCAGGGTCCTCCGACCAAGGCTGGAAAACTCCGGGGAAGCGCAAAGGCCCCTGCATGGGCCTTTCCAGCCAAGGACGGGGTGCTCCGGACTCCCTCTGGCCAAGCTGGGTGGGCTCTGGGACCTGTCCGGCTACTGGGGGGCCCCAAGGGCCGTCCAGCTAAGGCTGGGGGGCCCTGGAGCACGTCTGGCTAAGACTGGGAGGTTCAAGGCCCGTCCAGCTAAGACTAGGGGGCTCAGGGGCCCGTGGGGCGAAGGCCACGGGGCTCCCAGGCCCGGCCGGCCAAAACTGTGGGGGAGGCTCTGGGGTCCGTCTGGATAAGGTCGGGGGCTCTGGGGCCCGTCCTGCCATGTCCGCCAACTCCCCCATGTCCTTGTGAACTCCTCCATATCCTTCCCACCTTCCTCGCGCCTTCCCCGCGCCCCTCCCAGCTCCCTCGCGCCTTCCCAGCTTCCCCATGTCATTCCAAAGTTCCACATGGCCTTCCCAGATTCCGAACGTCCGTCCTATCTCCCCTATGTCAAATTCGCCGGCCCAACGGGCCAGAGGCGTGCTAAGATCTCCGGTAACTTGTTAACAATATTTCTAGTTCGCGCGCGCGGAGCGGCCCCTGGGGGCCCCCGGACGAAAAGTACCCCGGCAAGGTCCCGAGAGAAGCCCGGGAGAAGCCACCAGACCACTCCAGGGGAGGGTATTTTTCGACACCCCTCACGAGGATCGTGGCCTCCGAGGGGGGAGCCGCAATCGACTACCCCCAAGAGCCCCCCAAGAGGCCCTGGGGGCCTCCAAAACGCCGCCAAGGAGCCCCAAGAGACTCCCAAGAGGTCCCCAAGAGGCCCCCAAGAGGCCCTAAAGAGGGCTCCAGGGCCGGCGGCATGAGCGAAGCGATTAAGTAAAGATTCCCCAAGTCGATCCAACTGCTCCCATGCGCCATCCTGTTTCCACATAGCCGCCAAACCTCCTTCGACTGCTCGCCACTTTCTGGACGCACGCGCAACCTGCTACACCCCGACGAACCAGTCCACTATTGCCGCCATCGCAAACCAAATTCCCCCATGACCTTCCACCCCTTGTTTGCGCTGTTGGCCATGGGCTGTGAATTCCTTCGAAGACTAAGAGACCACCACCGCTGACTACGACGCCGCTCAACTAGACAACCACGCTCCACCTAGCAAAAGCGGAGCAACAAGGCCCCACCGCGTAGAATCCGCACTGTGCCTGGACACACACACACACACACACACACACACACACACACACACACGCACGCACGCACGCACACGCACACACACATACACCCCGCGGCGGCTGCACCTGAAAAGCTCCGGCGGCTGCGCCAGCCGCTACAGGATAGTCCACTCGAAGCCAGACATCGTGAAGGCGCGTCTAGGTTGTCTCCGGGGCGTGGTGCGTCCCACTCCTGGCGCGGCTGCAGCAGGTTGAGCGGGAGGAGAGCAAGATTCGCGTGAGAAAAATGCGAGAGATTAGACGGATTGCGGTCTGCTGCTGGAGAGGTCGGCAGGATATAAGGCTCCCAAGAAGCCCCTCAGAGACCCCCAAGAGGCGCCCAATCAAGAAGCCCCCAGGAGGACCCAAGAGAGCCCCAAGAGGCCACCAAGATGCCTCCTCCTAGTCCTCATTATCCTCGCTTCTCCTCCTCATCATCATCTCTCCCTCTCATCCCCTAGATGTTCCTCCAAGGCCTTCCACAAATGGCTGGGGGGAGCACATAGTAGAATAGCTGGGCCAGAAAAGAGGGCCCCAAAGGCATCCAAGAACACCCCTGCAGAAACACAAGAGAGCCCCAAGAGGCGACTTGGTCTAGCCCCCAAATGGACACCAGAATGGCCCCTGAAATTCCCCACAGGCTCCCGAAATTACCAATAAGAGAGTCTCAAGAGGACCCTAATGGCCCCAAAAAGGAACCCAACAGAACTCCAAGATAGTCATAAGAGGCTCCCGTAAACTCCCATGAGGGCCCAGGTGAGCCATTTCTGGGGACTGCTGGCGCTGATCTTCCCTCTGGTCTGACTTGTGCTCCCCTGCATCTTTCACTGCTGCTCCCTCGCCCCCTTTCTCACAACGCCTCGCATGATGACCGCTTCCGCATTTGCTGCCAGGGGTACGCAGCACGAAGAAATCCCCCACTAGATTGCGACATCCGAACCCTACCCCACCAACCATTGGATTCTCCTGAATCGATGGGAGGCTAGGGCTCGGCTTTCGCCACGTTCTCGACGAATTCCGAACCGCGTCCCCACCGCCCACCGAGTTGCCTAAATCGTTGATCGGCGAGGGCAAGGTTCGGATTTCGCCCCCGACCCACAACCTCGGAACAGGAGCGATGGGGCGGACCGCGCGGGTCGCAGGGGTGAATCGCCCGGAGGTGGTCGTGTCCTGTCTCCGCGTCCAACTCCCGCGACGGCGATCTGGCTGCCGCCGACGCTCCCCCGGAGTCCGAGCTCCATCATGACCTCTCCTCCTCTTCCTCCGACCTCCTCTTCCCTCTTCCCTCACCCTCCTCCTCCTCCTCCTCCTCCTCCTCCTGCCGCTCCTCCTCATCCTCCTCAGATGTGTCCAGTCTCTTTTTCCGCCCTCCCCTTCAGCCTCCTTGTCGCTCTACGCTCTAATCCTCCTCCCCCTCCTCCGCAGCCTCCTCCTCCTCGTCCGTTCCTCGTCATTTCTTCCTCCCCCTCCACCCCATCCTCCTCGTCCACCTTCTCATCCTCCTCCTCCTCCTCATCATCATCAGCATCAGCATCACCATCATCATCATCAGCAGCATCAGCATCAGCATCAGCATCAGCATCAGCATCAGCATTAGCATCAGCATCATCATCATCATCATCATCATCACCTCCTCCTCCTCCTCCTGCTCCTGCTCCTCCTCCTCCTCCTCCTCCTCCTCCTCCTCCTCCTCCTCCTCCTCCTCCTCCTCCTCCTCCTCCCTCTCCTCCTGCCACAGTGGCCTGCTTGACGCGCAGCTCGGTCCCCGAGGCACGCTGCTCCTGTGACGGATCGCTGGCCGCCCGCGGGCTTTCGTGACGCCGATGGTGGTCTTCTCGCGGGTCCTTTTGGAGGCCCTAAAAGGGTACGGAAAGAAGGGATACGATGCCCAACAACAAATCTTGTCCAAAACCGACAGCGGCCGCTATTGGGCAGGCGGCCGTTTGTCTTAAATGGACAACGCCCCTGACAACGCCGACAAGGAATGCTGTCGGTCTGTGTACACATTCGTTCCATACCCATTTCGGTAGACCCGACTCCTGGACCGCTCCGGCCAACGCCAGGCCGCCCCCCGGCGTGAAGTCACGGTCGAAAGACTCCCCCATGGTCGGCCTCCCGACCGCTGGCGTTCTCTCGGACTTCCTGGAGCACAAAACTGGGGGAGGAGAACGCTTCTTGTACTTTTCGCGATGGCGGCCGTCACCGGCCCCGGCCGCCCCCCCACCAGGTAAAGACGGGATTCGTGCCAACCTCCAGGCTGTCATTGATTCCTGAGACATTCCCAAACGAGACATTGCCGCGCCCCCTCCCCTTCCGGGAAATGCCCGGTGTATCGCCGGGGGGATGTGGGGGACGAGGAGCAGGGGGGAGCAGCAGAGCGGGGGGCGCCGGACGGAGCATGAGGGGCACAATAATCGACAGTACATGCAGGGGGCGCGGAGGCGAACTGGGATGGAGGACACAAGGAAACCCTACATGTTGAAAGATCGAACAAAGAACAACTGACGCGCGCAGGTCCCATTGCGTGGGTTCTGGACGCGAGCCAGACGCCACGGGTCCCTCCACTGGACTCGAACGGCGTAACGTGGCGGCCGCTCCCAGAAATGCGGCCAGCTCCTTAGTTCTGTCGAGGCCACGCCAAGGAGCGGGCGACAAGCAACAGGTCCCCTCGCTGTGTCCTCCACCCTCACGGCTTCCTCCTCTGTCCTCTGCCCTTCCTCCTCCCTCCATCCTCCATCGTCCTACCTAAACTCATCCCTCCGCACCCTCCGTCTTCCCAACTCCTCACTCCTCCCCTGCACTCGTGAGGAACGAGGGACAAGGAGGGGATGGACGGGGCTAGCGGGTGCAACGTAATGTTAGAGAGGCGGTTACAACGAGTGGGGAGAGGGAGAGGAGAAGGTAAAGAGATGTAGGACGCCCTGTCCTCTCTCTCTCATTATTGTTTTCCTCTCTCTCTCTCTATCGCTCTTTCTCTCTCTCTCTGCCAATATATGCGTTCCTATCTCTATCTCTGTTTCACGCTCTCTTTCCCTGCAGTGGGTTATCTCTCTCTGTATACATCGCTCTCGTTATCTATCTCTCGCTCTCTCTTTCTGTCTCTTTCTCTCTCTCTCTCTTCCTCCGAGGTCTGTATGCTGTCTGATCCCAAATGAAGCAGGAGGGCGAGGAGAAGATCGCTGTCAATCCCCGTCCTGCTGGCAAGATTGACCGTGGCTGCAGCGCCCGATAGCGAGCACCCCAGTCGGGGTAAACGCTTTGCAAGGAGGCCAACAGAAGATAGCGCCTGGGGAGGACGGGGGATGGAGACGAGGAACGAAACGGGCACGCCAGCGTTTGGCCTGACGAGGACTTCCGTGGCGCGCAGGCGGCGGGGGGGTTCTTACAAGGGCAAGGGGGCTCCTGGGCATGCGTCTTCGAAAGCACGAGCCTTCGGAGACTGGGCGTATGGGGCCGTCTGGGGGGGGTGTCCTAATGGGCAAAAGACTCCTGGGCATGCGGCTTCTTACAAGAGGGGGCTTCTGGGGCTTCTGGGCATGCGGCCTTACGATGGCAAGGAGGCTTTTGGGGCTTCTGGGCATGTGGCGTCTTATCAGTCTTATCAGGGCAAGGGGGCTTCTGGGCAGGGGGACTCCATGAAGCCCCCCGTGCTCTCTCAGAAGGCCCCCTCCCCCTCGCGCCAGCCCCTTGAAGGGGGCGGCGCGAAGGGGGCGACATCGTGTGCGCGGGGGGGGGCGTCGCCCCAGTCACCAATTTGAAGGGAGACTTGCTAGTCTGGGTGGAAGAAGGCCCGAGGCCGTGCCCAACGCCCCTGGTTCGCAGTCGGCCCAGTGCCATGTCTATGAAAGGGAATGTTTGGGGGGACCGGCTCAGGGGGGGAACCACCGAGCTGGAATTGGATCGCCGATAGATCGGCGTTAGGCCCCCGATAGTGGACCCGCGCGTTTCTGGGCGGGTTGGGATGTCACGCCCCTATCAGCGACGAATGGGCGATTGGGGGTCGACGCACTCCCCCCTGAGCCGACCCCACCCTGATTCACAAAAAGGCGAACATATCCGTATCCGCGCCCTCGAGGTCTGGATCCCGAGGCGCGATCCCGCGGATGCGCGGTCGCACGACTGCGTTCCGCGCGGGGCATCCGCGGAAGAACGCCCCGTGTATCCGCGGGGTCACGGCCCACGGCCCCGGCCCGCGAAGGCAGGGGCACGGATACGTTTTTCCGCCCGCGACCGACGTGGCCTCCGGCGAAGAGTCGAGCGAAGAGCGAACACAGGAGACACGACAGCTGCACAAGCAAACACTTCCGGAGGTCCGCGAGGCTTTCTTGGATAGGCGCTGGAGGCGCCGCCAGGGAGGCCCCAGCGCCGATCCAAGAAGTCCGCGCGGAGCTCCGAGAGCTCATGCTTATGCCGCTTCTTTTGGGCGCCCGAGTTATCCGGGGTAACTCGGGTCCGGGGTAACTCGGGTTTGGATTCCCGAAAAAGGAACCCGAGTTAGCCCTGACCCGAGTTACCCCTGATGATTCGGGGCGCTGGACGCCCGAACTATCCGGGGTAAGTCGGGTTCGGATTCCCGAAAAACGAACCCGAGTTAGCCCTGACCCGAGTTACCCCTGATGATTCGGGGCTCTGATTCTTGCTCCTCGAGAGCACCACTCGGCCGCCGCCCGCTCCTGCCGGCCCTCGGGCCCGCCGGCGCCGCCTCCTCTGGCGGCTGCGGCGGCGGCGCTGCGGAGGGCTCGCCGGGCGCGCCCGCGGGGGCGGGCGGCGCGCCGACGCCCCTCGGGCCTGCCAGCGCCGCCTCCGAGGGCTCGAGCTAAGCAGTGCTTTCGGCTTCCGTTTTGTTTCCGTTTTCCCTCGTTCTGTCCTCGTTCCGCCTGTGCGGCGCAGCGGAATCAAACCGAAAACGCCCCACGAAATCGCCAAACCACTGCTGAGCTCGAGCGCTATCGCCTCCTCCAGCAGCTGCGGCGGCGGCGCCGCGGAGAGGGCGCCGGAGGCGCCCTCGGGGACGGGCGGCGGGGAGACCATGGCCGCCTGCTCCCGGCGCAGGCGCCGGGCCTCCTTGCGCAGCTCGGCCATCTCGAACAGCGAGGGGACGCTGGGGACGCAGCCGCACTCGCATCGCGGCTTGTGGGGCGTCCTGGGGGGAGGCCAAGTGTACGCCTGCACCGATCCTGGGCAGGCCCATCCTGGGCCTGAGATCGGTGTATGCGCCAGTGCCGCCTCGGCCAGAAAGCATGCATACCGGTCCTTGGCCCAGGATCGGCCTGGCCAGGATCGGTGTCGGTGTGAGGTTGGCGCCCTCCGAATCCCCTGCATCGCTCGCGGGACATGCTTCTAGCGCGCCCCCAGCGCGCGCCCCTCCGAACACTTGAGCATCCCCATCAGCAGCAACAGCATCGTCAAGATTATCATGATCACCACAACCATCATCACCATCACCACCAAAATCAAACTAACAGTCACCACCAACAGCATCATCACAATCACCACAAGCGCCATACTATGATTCATCAGTATCATCAGCATCATCATCGTCATCATCGTCATCATCATCATCATCATCATCATCATCATCATCATCATCATCATCATCATCATCATCATGCATCATCATCAGTATCATCATCATCATCATCGTCATCATCATCGTCATCATCATCATCATCATCATCATTACCAGCGTCGTCATCGTCATCATCATCACCATCACCATCCTGATCATCATCATCATCATCAGCAGCAGCAGCAGCATCATCGGCAGCATCATCATCACCACCATCACCGTCACGATCACCATCGTCACCATCAAATTTACCATCGCAATCACCATCACAATCGTCATCATCTTATCCTCATGATCCTCGTCGACACCACCACGATATACCACTGTCAGCATCACCAAACCCATCGTCATCATCAGAATAGGTATCATCATCATCGTCGTCGTCGTCGTCACCATCAGCATCAGCATCAGCATCACCATCATCATACGTATCAACACTATCAGCGTCATCATACCGTTGTCGTGGTCATCATCATCATCAACATCACCACCACAAACATCGCCAGAAGCATGATGTTGATCAGCATCATAATCATTATCATCATCGTCATCATCATCATCAGCATCATCATCATCATCATCATCATCTGCATCATCATCGTCATCAGCATCAACATCATCATCAACATCATAAACATCGTCGACGGGATCGTCACCGTCAGCATACTTATCATCGTCATCACCAGCATCATCATCAGCATCATCAGCATCTGCATCAGATGAATCATCATCAGCAGCATCATCATCATCGCCATCACCATCATCAACAGTATAATCCTTATCAATACCATCTCAAACATCATCAGCACCCCCATCATCAGCATCATCAGCATCAGCATCATCAGCATTATCATCGGCACCATCACTATCACCATTATCATCAGCATCATCATCCTCATCACCATCAGCATCAGCATTATCACCACCATCATCATCAGCAGCATCATCATCACCAGCATCACCATCACCATCACCATCATCACCATCGCCATCATCATCAGCATAATCATCATCATCGTCGTCATCATCAACATCATCACCATCACCATCACCATCACCATCATCAGCATCGTCATCGTCATCGTCGTCGTCGTCATCGTCATCGTAATTGTTATCGTCATCGTTATCGGCCTCGTCCTCGTCTTTGTTCTCGTCCTCGTCCTCGTCATCGTCGTCAAACTCATTCCTCGCCGCTCAATCCGTGTATCTCCTCCTGACTCCAACCCGTCTCGCCGCCGTCATACTTGACCCGAGACGTCAATGCTCCCGTCTGCAAATCTCCGTTAGCATCTTCGAGGACGACCTCTACCCTTCCCACCCTATCCCTTCGCCCTCCCTCCGTCCCCATTGCCGCCCCTCTCGCTCCCAACCTCGCCCATCACCCCTTCCAACACCCACCCCACCCCCCCTGAACCTTGCGCTCCCCTCTTCCCGCTCCCTGCCCCTCCTCACCCATCCCGCTGCAACTCACCGACCCGCCAGAACTGGGGGGTGGGAGGGGCGCTCTGTGCTTCTGACCTGCATATTTGTACGCTACTGCATCTTCTCCCGCAGGGAAATTCGCATGTATACTGTCCAACTCACGAACCTGTTGTGTTGTAAAGCCTCACGGACGGGGTACCGTATTAGTCTCTTCCCCGAGGAGGTGCTGTTATTCCCCCAGAAAATACTGCAATGCCGCCCGAAGGGAACAATGCACTGTCACGAGCGGCGAACATGTCCGTTTCCGCGCCCTCGAGGTCTGGATTCCGAAGCGAGATCCCGCGGATACGCGGTCGCACGGATAATGCCCGCGCGGGGCATCCGCGAAAAAACGCACCCACGGCTCAGGGGCCCCGCCCGCCAGACCGCGGATACGGATGTTTTCTCATTGGGCATCGAGGATTCGAGGATTCGACGTCGCCGCACGGCGCGGGGGATCGAGGATTCGACGTCGCCGCACGGCGCGGGGGGCCGCCTGCAGCCACTCGGCCAGCCCAGCCACGCTGCGCGGCGCGCGCGCGTTGCGCCGGGGCACCGCGGCGTGGGGGCCTCGGATCGGGGCCCAGAAGGGGGGGGGGCAGAGCAGGTAGCGACATCCGAACCCTACCCCCGCCAACCATCGATTCTCCTGAATCGATGGGAGGCGGGGATTAAGGTTTGGGTTTTGCCGCGTGTTCGACGAATTCCGAACTCTACCCCTGCCGCCCATCGAGTTGCCTGAATCGTTGATCGGCGAGCGTAGGGCGGATTTCGCCGCAGAGAGAAGCCCCTGCTCGGAGAGCATGTTTGCATTCGCGGCGATGATGGGAGTTGTGGGGTGGAAAGGGGGTGGGAGAGGGGGAGGGGCCATAACGTAACGCCCCCCCCCCGACGTGTGGGTCCGGCACCGCAGACTGCGGTGCTGGACGCACTGCGGCAGTGCCGGGCGCGCTCTAGGAGGGGGGGGAGCGTTAGATGATGGGAGGGGACGGGGGGGGCATATCGCGCATGATGGGCCAGCAGATAAAACAAAAACAACAAAAAAAAACTCTCTCGGGCCTCTGGCCTCCGGCTGGTCCTGCTGCAACACCAAGGGATGACTGAACCCGCAAGCTAGGAATAACAGCCTTTTCCTCTCTGCCCCCCTCCGTGGCGGCTCGTTCACAGGACGTTTCAAGATGATGTCTGAGCCATAAACGGTCATGAAACTGATTCCTCTCAGGCAAGCGATCCTGAGGATGCCCGAAGATAAGGTGGGCAGATAGCGTCAACAAGTATCAGAGTAAAGAGCACGCTATGTCACTATCAGAAAGATGTCATGGCAATCGAGCCTTCGACCTGGCACGGTTCGGAGATGCTCTCGTCGACTGCATGGTTTTGCAGTGGCCTGCCAGCGGCGTTGTAATTCAGAGGGGTGTGTACTGCTGCATCGCTTTCGATCGCCGCCTCCACCTGTGGGACTTGTGGCACCTGACCTGGCCCGGCCCCCCCTCTCGGGTGTTGCCAGAAGTGCCCCTGGCCCAGGGCAGCCCCCAGGATCCCCAGGGAGCCCCCCACGGCCTGCAGAGCACCCCCCCACGAGGCCCAGGGCCCCAGGGGCTCCAGCATGGAGCGACGAGCCTGGGGCACCTGGGGCCGGAGCACCTGCCCACCCCCCCCCCCCGGCTCCCCGAGGCCGGCCAGCGCAGCCGGAGCGGCAGGCCGGGCGGGGGGCCGAGGCCCGGGCTCAGGAGCCACACCTCCGGACGGCGCGCAGGCCGGCAGGGAGAGAAGACGGAGGGGGAAAGACCGGGGAGCGGGGGGGTGGGTGCGAGTCGTCTCGACTCCGAGCAGCCTGGAGCGTGCGCGTGCGGGGAGACGTGCATCAGGGAGGAAGATAGTTCGCGCATCGACCCTCCTTCAGACGACGTCGTTGCTG